GTCGAGGTCGACGTCGGCGAGTTCGCGGGCGACGCCCAGGCGAGCGAGACCCTGCTCCAGGGCTACCTGGGGCTGCCCGTGCGCGACCTCGAGGCGCTGCCGCTCTTCGCGCTGGGCCTCGACGGCGCGGGCCGCGTCGCGTTCGCGTCGCGCGGCGCGCGGTCCGCCGCGGCCGTGCGGCGCGGCGCGGCGCTCGACGACCTCGAGTTCCGGTCCGCGGGCGACCTGGGCCACGCGCGGCGCGAGATCCGGCGCGTCGTCGAGGCCGCGCGCGCGCCGCGGCCCTTCACGCTCTGGCTCCGGCGGCCCGGCGGCGGCGACTTCGCGTCCGTCGTCGTCCACGCGCTCCGCTTCGGCGGCGCGGGCGGCGCCGCGCGCGTCGCCCTCGTCGGCAACGTGCTCAGCGACGCCCAGCTCCGCGAGGCCGTGGCGCTGAGCGACGCCGCGGCGCGCGGCGCGCGGCGCTGGTCGCCGCGCGTGTCCTTCGACGGCGGCGCGCCGTCGCCGCGGCGGTCGCCGCGCGTGTCCTTCGACGGCGACGCGAGCCCCCGGACGCCCCGGGGCTACTACGCCGAGTCGCCGCGGACGCCGCGCTGCGGCGACGACCGGCCCGCGCGGCGGTCGCGGACGCACCTCGAGGCGCTGCTCCTGCCGCCGCGCCCCGCGATCGAGAACATCGGCGACGCCATGGACCGCCTCGAGATCGAGAGCGCGCGGTCCCGCGGCACGCCGCGGGACGCGCGCGACGAGCCCCAGGCCTACCCCTGGGTCATCGCGCGCGGCGCCGCGGACGTCTTCCTCCTCCGCTACGTCGCCGCGTCCGGCGCGCTCGAGGGGTCCGTCTACCGGCCCCGGCCCGGCGTCGAGCACATCCCGCGCCTCGAGGCGCCCTACGTGACCCAGATGGCCGCCGGCGGCGCGCGCCTGCCGACGACGACGCACGTCTTCGCGCGCGCGCCGGGCGAGACGGACCGCGCGGCCGCCGTCGTCCGCGCCGCGACGCCGCTCGCCGCGGGCTCCATCTTCGGCTGCGGCGAGTGCTGGCACCACCTCGTGGGCCTGCCCCCGCCCGACGCCCTGGGCGAGGGGCAGGCGGGCGCGGCGGCGCTCGACGCGATGTCGCGCGCGCGCCGCGTCGCGGGCGGCCAGCTCGACGTCGGCGCGGACGGCACGCTGTCGCGGTGGTGCGTCTACACGTCGAGCCTCCGGCCGGAGCCGTCGGACGTGCTCGCGCTCGCGTCCCAGGTGCCCCTGCCCTTCGAGCGGCTCTGGCTCATCTGCGTCAAGGAGCCCGCGGGCGACGACGGCGCCCGGCCGCGGTGGCCCGCCTGGGCGCCCGGCCCGCGCGACCGCGACGAGCTCGAGGCCGCGGGGCGGCTCCAGTACACGTCGGCGACGTCCTTCATCGTCAAGGCGGCGACGGTCGACGCGCGGGCCTACGAGGACGCGCGGTCCGCCGTGCTCGTGGCCATGAACGCGCGGCAGCGGTTCCGCGAGGCCAAGGCCGAACTCCGCGCGTCCGCGGCGGGCGCGCGCGCGCGCGACGACGCGCGGCGCCTCGCGGCGGAGGCGCGGCTCCACGAGGCGCACCTCGAGTACTCCGCGTCCAAGGCGTCGCTGCGGGGCACGGCGGCCCTCGAGACCTTCCTCCGGGGCAAGCGCGAGCGCCGCGCGCTCCGCGGCCTCGGCATCTTCGACGACCGCTGGCCCCGGCTCTACGCGCGCCTGCGGCTCGTCGAGATCGGCCGCGCCGACGCCGGCTCCGTGCTCTCGCTCCTCCCGAGGGACATCGCCCTCTACCT